AACAATGAGCAGGTGGTGCAGAAATGTACTTCTGCCAGAGGCTCCTGTCTTTTGATGCTTGTCCTTATTTAGTTTGCTTCCCTGTGCTCAGAAATAACCACGTGCCTGCACGGCTGTGCTTTGCTGGGCGCGAGCTGTGTTGTCTTTCTCCCATCCCAATAGGATAAGAACATCCAGAAAAGAGAAGGGAAGCAGGAAGCAGACGCGAGATACGAAGCTGCCTGTAACAGACTGGCCAACAAGGCGGTGCAGCGAGGGTCGGCGGACAACGTGACGGTCATGGTGGTTCGGATAGAGCACTGAGAGATGAGGAGCAGCAGCGAGGCCCCCATCTGATGTAAAGATGGGACGAGTCGGTGTGGGTCTGTGTGTGGTGGGGGGAGGGCCCTGCTGCGTGCTCCTCAGTGTAAATAAAGGTTTTTTTCTAATAGTTCTAGTTCACTTGGCTAGCAGTGTTTTCTAAGCAGTTACTACAGTGGATCAGCTTGTTGGGGGAGTTTTGTGTCCTGTTAACCCTCACCCCCTTGAATGTCCTGACAAACCAAATAAATCCATTTGGTAGAGGTGCTGGTGAGAGCAGGCATCTTTGTGCACAAACTGCCACCTGTTCAAATGCTGCAGCTTCGCTGTTTGTTTCCTCAAGCTTTATATGATGCCTAGGAAGAGCTCCAAGCACCAGGGGCTCAGTGGGAGCTCCTGGCTGGGCTCTGTGTTTGCTACCTTCTGGTGCTGGGAAGGAAATCTTTTGGATCTGGAGTGTGAAGTGCTCTAAATGGCCCTGGGAGAGCAGCAGAGGTCGTGCTCCCATGCAGGGTGTGCCTCACCAGCCCTATATGTGGCCCTGAGCGACACAGGGATCCCCCACCCCGACACACAGGCGGCCCACAGAGCTACTGGTTGTGTACATTTAATGAGTCAAACATCAGAATAGCACTCTGGAACAACTTGATCAAACAATACCAGCATCCCAAGAGCAGAGTGCTGGAGGCTGCATTGGCCTCTAAGAAAGGGGTGGCTTCATGCTCAACCCGACCTGGGGCTGTGGGCATCAGAGCTAGGAAAGGGCTGACAAAGTGCCAGCTGTGTCACCATTGTGGGATCATGTCCTTGGGGTGCTTGGTCGTGTGCATGCTGTGTTGCTGTGCACGAGGAAGCTGAAATGGAGCAGCTTCAGCACTGGGGAGGTTTGCCCTGCTTTCTCTGGCACTCCAGCTCCCAGAGCCGCAGGGAAAGGGGGCTGGTGGGAGGGAAGCAAGTTTGAAATAGCCCGAAAGCTTTGGGCTTTCAGAGGGTAAAAAAAGCTTTTTTTTTTTAAGGTGTTGGTGAGGTGTTGGTGGCTGTGGTAGGGTTAGGGGGATGGGGTGGCAGTGGGAGGTGAGGCGAGAGAGGGAACCCAAGCAGCTTCCTGTCTGGCTGGAGTTGATCCTGCCAGCACCTGGAACGCCGCCGTCAGCTCTGCTACCGCCCCTGGTCCCCTGGGAAAGCCTCAGTCCACTTGGAGGTATCCATGAAGATGGAGGAGGAGCTGTGGAAGAGCCAGAGGCAGGGCAGCGAGCCCTCCCGCACCCAGCGGTCCTTGGCGCAGTCGTACACCTCCATCTCCACCCGGTAATCCCCATCCATGCCCTTCCAGTGGCCGCCGGTGACGAAGAGCCGATCTCCCAGCGGCACCATCCCGCCGTTCTCATGCAGCGTGTGCAGGAGCTGCACCTGCACCAGGGGAAGGGCGAGTGCTGGGGTCCCGCTGCCCACCTGAGCTTTAGCTGCATCCGTGCTTTGGGCTCACACAGTGCGCTGTGGGGGTGGGGTGCGTGGGGGAACGTGCAGGGGCGTGGGAAAGCGAGGGTGATCTCTGCTTAAAGCCATAACTCCGTGCGGATGCTGTGCTCCTGGAGCATGCATTACCTTCTGCCAGATGTTGGCCTCTGGGTCGTAGACGTGGACCTTCTTGGTGTTGTCCCCGATGAGGTAGATGAGGCCGTGCAGGGTGGCGCAGCGCGGGGCCGACAGGTACTTGGGGATGAACGGGGACGTGATCACGCTCCATGCATCTGCAAGGGGCAGCCATCAGTGGGCGGGCAGGGAGCAGCCCCGGGTATTCAGGGGGGGTTAAAAGGAGATAGATCGGCACCCACGCTGCCCACCAAAGGCAGTGCTGCAGCCCAGGGCTTTGCTGTAGAGCGCCACTGGGGCTGGCAATGGGGTTTGGTGGGTGCTCACCTCGCACAGGGTTGTAGCACTGCAGGGTGAGCGCGTTGTACTTGACGGCGCAGGAGCCCACCAGGTACAGTTTGCCCAGGCAGCCGGCGGCGGCGAAGTTGCTGACATATTTGAGGGCCGGGCTGATGGCTGCCCAGCTCTGGTTGTAGGGGTCGTAGCGCTCCACCTCCACCACCTCCACCGTCGTCCCTGCAGGGCAGTAGCACGCTGCAGCCCTCTGTGCCGTGCCACAACCATCCCCCTGTTCCCCGGCATCCCCTTACCCCCAAGGACGTAGATCTCGCCGTTGAGGACGGCGCTGGTGTGGTTGGTCCGCGCCCGCAGCATGGAGGTGATGGCTGTCCAGACACCATCCTTGGGGCAGAAGCGCCAGGCCTGCGTTGTTGACCACGCGTCATTCCGGGACCCCCGGGAACCACCTACAGGAACAGGTCAGGACCCAAAGTCAGCTCAGATAGGGGTCCCCAGTCCCTGGGACGATGCTGACCCCCTGCCCGGCACCTACCAGTGACATAGACGTCATTGTTCAGTGCCACCAGAGAGAAGCCCCACTTGTTGTAGTCAGGGAAGTCAGGCAGAGCCATCCACCGCCCTGCAAGGCAGCAGAGCCACGCTGTCACCCTGTGTGTGGGCTGGGGACTTCCCACCTGCACCATCAGAGGTGGGGACAGCAGCTCAGGGTGACACCTTTCCACCAGCCCTATTTCATTCTTCCTTCACCCCGTGTCCCCACGGTGCCAGATGTTTTGGGAGCTGCTTTTCTCCATCTCATCCCATGTGGGAAGAGCTGGGGGTTGATGACCACACCGCAGTGGGCACTTACGCGTTTTGGGGTTGTAGAAGGCGAAGTTCCTGGGGGTGGCCGGCGTTTCCAGCCCCCCCTCCTCGTCCTCGCTCTCCTCCAGCACGCGCCCACCCACCACCACCAGCACCTCCTCCAGTTTCTGTGGTGGGGCTGCCTTTGGCGGCGTGGGGACAGTGCCGGTGGCACCGAGCATGGCACGGGAGCGGGCCACCAAGGCCTGGCTGGCGGCTGAGTCACGGACGAGGGGTTCGGCGGAGAGCAGGTTCTGCAGGTAGTGGTCGGGCAGCGAGACCAGGCGGGCCAGCTCCAGCAGCTCAGGCAGGAACTGGGCCCTCTGCCCCGGGTCGTAGCGCACCCAGCGCAGCACGGCTTCGGCCACGCTCTGCTCTTCCTGCACCTGCAGCTGCTCGTTGGAGAGGTAAATGGCCAACCTCTCCTTGGAGAGCTGGAGGAACTCCTCCTGCTGAGAAACAGCCTCAAAGTTCTCCTGCAAGAAGGACCAGGCCTTGGAGGACACCTCGGGGCAGCCGTGGCTCTCGCCAAACTCACAGATCCCCAGGCAGTTGGTGGCGTCCATCTGCTGCCGCAGGTAGCGGCTGCACACCTGCTGGATGGTGGGGAAGTGCAGCTGGCTGGAGGTGCGCATCAGCCCCTCCACGTTGCCCTGGTTGATGGTCACCTTCCCCGTGTAGGCGAAGTCCAGCAGCGTCTCCAGCGCGCCGGGGTCCACCTCCTTCAGCTCCACCCGCGCCGCGATGCTCTCAGCAAAGTCCCCGGAGAACATGGCGTGGAAGTAGTGGCTGCAGAGCGCCAGCACGCCGCGGTGGCAGGGGAACTCCCGTCCGCCCGCCAGCAGCGTCACGTCCGACAGCTTGGGGTGGGCGCGCAGCCGCTGCAGCCCCTCCAGCACGCCCTGCGCGTGCGACGGCAGGCAGAAGTCAAAGTCGTCCACGTTGCGCACCATGGTGCCGGGTTTGGTGGCTGGGGCGGCCGCAGGTCCCCGCTGTGGGAAGGAGCTGAGCGTGGCGAGGCTGTCCCTGCTGGGAGGTGGTAATGATGGGCTCTTCCTTGCATCGCCCGTGTGATGTACGGCACCAGCTGGGGCTGAGGAAGGGATTTCAGGATCCCCGCCGCCCCCCTGCCCTCACCGCCCGGCGGCTGCGCCTTCCCCACCCTGGGCCGTAGGGCTGAGCTGCCCTCCTGGAGCTGCTACGTATTTCTGAGGGGGTTTGCAGTGATCCAGGAGGTGGCTTTAGGACTGGGTCACATTCAGCTTGGATTGTTCACCCTGACACACCGAGGTGGTGCACATGGAGATGCCAACCCCCCCCCCCCCCCCCCCCTCCCCCCGTTACAGCTCAGCCTGAGCATCCCATATGTGGGGTGTGGATGTGTGGGTGCCCACAGGGAAGGGTCAAACTCATCCCCCCCACCCCCCCACACGCGGTGCTCAGCCCCCGGCCCTGCTGAGCCCCCACTCCTACCTGGGCTGTGCCCCGCTCAGAGCGCGCCGTGTCCCATGCAGCAGGGAGGGCAGTGGCAGGGCACGGGAGGGACACGCGGGGTGGTGGCGGGGGCTGAGCTGGGGGGGTATTTTTAGCCGGGGCGGGGACAGTGCTCTTAAAGGCACCGCTGGAGCAGAGCTGCCTGCTGCCACCATGGGCACCTAAGGGTGCAGAGGGGGAAATCACCCTCCCAGGTTACTGAGAGCACCGTGCTGCTGCGTGTGCCCAGGAGGGGCAAGAAAGACCCCTGTGCTATTCAAGCACATCGCTGCGACCCATTCCCCCGCCTGGGGCTAGCTGTTAAATATAGGCTCGTATCTCGGCCCCGAGGTGGAGCACAGCGGGTGGCAGCAGACACAGAGCAGCCGGCACCGAGCAGCCGGGTCTCCACGGCGCCGGGGCACTCAGCAGGGCGTCCTCCATCACTCCAAAATATCTCGAGGTTTTTTTTTGAGACGAAACTGAAACGCTTTTATTGAGGCCCTTTGAGAAGCACAGAGGGGGCGTCCACGGGTGTCATGAGGCGTCACTCCTCGAAGCTGAAGATCTCGGCCTCCTTCTCCTTCCAGAAGGCGAAGCTGCGGTCGATGCACCTGCAGATCTCCTCCTGGCTGCTGCGGCCACGGCGGGCTGCGCTCTGCGGGGGGCTGCCCCCCGCTCCCCCCGCTCTCCAGGCCGAGCCCTTGGCGGTGCCGAAGAAGCGCTCCTTGATGTCCTCGAAGCCGTCCCCCCAGCCCCGCCGGCCGGCCGCGATCTCGTCGGTGACGGCGCGGTGGAAGGCGCGCGCTGTGTCCCAGCCGTGCCGGCCCAGGTGGTCGAACACCTCGAAGCAGAGCAGGTGGCGGCCGCGGCGCTCCTCGGGGGGCAGCTCCCGCTCCAGGATGCGGAAGTAGCCCAGCATGAAGAGCTCCAGCGTCAGGCTGTCGTAGTCGGCCGGCGTCCCGTCGGCGCGCCGCACAAACTGCTCGGGGGACAGCGGGGAGCGGGGGCTGCCCGCAGCGGGGGGCAGCGGCGGCGGGGGGCAGGCGGCCACGTCCCTCCAGCTGCCCAGGAGCTGCTGGATGGCGCTGCACTGCCGCGACAGGCGGCCCCTCCTGCCCGCCTGCTCCTCGCCCGGAGCGCCCGCTCTCTCCCTCTGAGCCTGCAGCGCCCGGCACGCCGCAGCCCAAGCGTTGAGGCCTCCGGCCGAGCGCTTCCAATGGCTGAGGAAGAGCAGCACGATGCGCTCCTTGCGCAGGCCGGCTGACTCGGGCACCGGTGAGCCGCTGCCTTCCGACGGCGCTTCCTCGCAGCTGATCCCCGAGTCGCTGGCGGCCTCCACCACCGCTGCGGTCTCGCTCTCCCCGCCGCCGTGCCGCTCGAAGGCCCCGCGCAGGCTGCTCACGCTCACCCCGCACTGCCGGATCTCCCGCTGTGCCACGCTGCCCGACGGCGTCCGCGGGGCTGCAGGGAGCGGTGCGGGCGGCGGGGCAGGCACGGGGCTGCCACGAGCCCCCTCGGCCTTGGCCAACAGCGCTTCCAGGCTGCCTACCACACCGGCCAGGCGGCCGCACCAAAGCGGTAAGGGCTGCCCTGGGGCGGGAGGAGGGCTGTGAACGGTGATGCTGAGCAGCGGGGAGGGCAGCAAGGTGCGCAGCTCTTGCGCCAGGCGTTGCAGCTCGTCCTGGTAGGCCTCTCCACGGCGCCGCAGCCGCAGGCTCTCCACCGCCCTCTCCAGCTGTTGTAGGTCAGCCTCGGTCAGCAGCTCACCAAATGGGCCCAGCACGGCCTCGTGGGACGGTGAGAAACGCCAGGCGCCCGGCTCCTGCGGCAGGAAGCCATCAGGATGCAGAGACACGTGGGATCCAGCTGTGTCCCACCCACAGCCCGGCCCTACCTGATCACACACGGGCACCTCATCCGCCAGCCGTGCTCGCAGCCGCCGCACCATCACCTGCCGCTTCCACTCAGGGATGGCGCGGCCCCGCTCGTCATGCGTGGGCACCAAGGCGTCCACATCCAGAGGGTCCACTGCGGTGGTGCCGTGGGGGTCTTTCCAGGGTGCTGCCGGCTCCGCTGCCGTGCCCTGTGCAGCAGCACGGTTCCCCCGGGCCTGCCTGGTGCAAAGGGGAAGGGCAGGGACACGAGCACGGGATGGCGGAGCGGTGCGGTGACGTACCGGGTCCATGAAGGGCGCCGGGATCCTGCCCCGCTGTACGGGTCTGCGGAGCTTCAGCTCAGGCAGCGGTGGCTCGTTGGGCTGCATCACCCTCGTGTCTGGGACCTTGTGGGGACAGGGGTACGGGGACATGTTGCGGGATGGAAGAGGAGTCTGCATCCCCGCTCTGCTGGGAGAGACAGCAGAACCAGCACAGGCGTGAGGGCAGAGAAATGTGTTCAGACATTTATGCTAGGCAAAGCACTCACAGCTAGATGAGGAGAACCAGGAAAAGCTGTGAGCGCATCTGTTGACACAGCCCTGTGCTCCTGGTGTCTATCCACCCGCAGGGAGGACCTGCAGCTCCTGCAGCTCACACTGCAGCATGGCCCTGGCTGGGTGCTCTGCTCCTGGGCACAGCAGACACCCTCACTGGCAGCCCTGGGGAGTGCAGAGAAGGGGAGCTGGGCCTGGGGTAGCTGCGATGGTGTACAGCACTGCTGTGCCCAGGAGGGCTCTTTGCAGAGCAGCACAGCCCCACCCCAGCAGCAGCTCTGCATTTCTGCATGTCCAGGCTTTGCAACCCAGCCTGACCCTGCACATGGCTGAGGTGCAGGAGGCTGGGCAAGACCTTTCCTGGCTACCTTCTCACCTGCCCAGCAGTGGCCCCACTGCAGACACTTTCCTGATCCGCTTGGGCGGGTGCCAGCAGCAGTGTTCCCATGCCTGCCTCGGGCTGAACTGCAGGGACAGCAGCTGCCCCAGGGCACAGAGGGTCTGTGTGGGTGGACATCCTGGGGGACACCCACGATGCCCACAGAGACAGGGACCCCCCTACCCACAGCCACGTGGGGCTGTGCTCCCCTCCACCGCCAGCCCTTCTTTTTCCCCATCCCTTCTCCCAGCACTCACTCACCTCGGGGCTCGCTGCCACAGGCAGTGCTCACAGGGCTGCAGCAGGAGATGGGGCTCAGCGGTGCAGGCTCATCCCAGGGTGCCCGTCCAGCAGAGCGGGGTGCTTCTCACCTGCACGGAGCCGGGGAGAATGGGGGGCAGGGTGGCCCCCCAGGAACATGGAGCCGGGAGCACTGTGCTGCCCGCACCCCGTCCTGGGCAAAAAACAAGCAACTGGATCCCAGTGCTGCTGCTCACACCGCAGGTTGTTATCTCAAAGCCCTTGAAAAGAAGGAGCCTCATTAGTGAAGCAAATGTGCTGGCCGGCATCGGCCGCCGGCTCACCACCCGCCTTGCAGGAGCCAAAGATGCGGCCGATACAGCAGTGCTGGCACAGCCTTGATGGGCTTTAGGATCAATAGGATGATGTGGAGATGGAGGAGGGATGGAGCCCGGCACCCACCGTCCTGACGTATCCACTGCACCAACCTCCAGGTCAAGCGATGCACAATCCAAGGGCGGCTCAGGGCTGGATGTGAGTGCAGGCACCCTGTGCCCAACTGCACACACCTGTGGGGCAGTGGCAGGGAGGGGGTCCGACTGCAGGACCCGCATGGCTGCTCCCGACATTCAGCGCTGTTTTTGTTTCCTCACTCAACCTCCATCCATTATATATGGCCAGAATATATCAGTGGAGCTCGGTTACATGAGAGAAATTCAATCGAGGGGCTGGAAAAAAAATGAAGCAGCAGGAGATCAAAGCCTCTAAACGGTAACCACCTGGTGAGGATCCATTACAGAGCCGGCCTCCGGCCCCCCAGCAGGGCAGCGCTCCGAGGGCACCACTGCCACCAGCCCAGGCACAGCAGAGATGGAGCTGGGGAGCTCAGGGACCGAAGATGGACAGAAGCAAGCTTGAGCACCCTGCTGCCCACCTTGGTGCCCACCAGGACCCTCACAGTCACACAACCTTTGGCCAAGCCTTTGACCTTGGCTTGTAAGGAAGCTACGGGTGCAAACCAGACATGAATGGAAGCAGCCATTAGAAGGGCACTGCAACCCACAGGCCTTCCACAGAGCTCCCACTTAGAGTCCTTCAGATGGCAATAACAGGCACCCTGAATTTAGATCTGTCTGAAAAGACAAAATTCATCCATTGCATATACTAAATCACAGTCGTTGACTCAAGATAAGTCCCTTTCTCATCCTTACCCACCCTTACAACTATCTCCTGCACCGTGAGCTCTGGGGAGCCCCTTCTCTCACCTCCCAGTCCCCACTGTTTAAAGTTTCTTTTGTTGCTCAGTGACTCTTCACCTGTACTCTAACAGCATTCTGTACAGAAGCCAGAGGTCTGATTCTGGCCTCTGGGCCTGTATGTGAGAAACAGGATTCCTGCAGGACCTGACCCAACAGCCTTCAAAGTCCATGGGGGAGCAGGCCATAGAATCACAGAGTGGCTTAGGTTGGAAGGGACCTTGAAGACCATCCAGCTCTGCTCATTCTTGGTCCCTCTCCAGCTCTGTCACACAGGAAGAGGTGTGTGAATAGGTGAGCTGAGCTACATCAGGCAGGAGCTGGAGGTCTCACAGTTGACCTCTATAATGCAAACCCATTCCTAATCCTGCTGCTTCTGTGGCACAGTCAGACAATAAGCAGAAGCTTGAATCCATCGCCCTTTCTACCCCGGAAGCATACTGACAAACAAACACTGATCTCTTCCAACCTGAACGATTCCATGATTCTAAGTACCCAAAGGCTCCACCTGCAGCGCAGAAGGCCTCAAAGACCACTCAGCAATCACACCCAAAAACACAGCCGTAAAAATAAAAGCTTTTATTATTATTATTATTTTTTTATATATACCATTACAGGGACATCCGCTAACATTCTCACCAGCATGGGCAGCTCCGCACGGCCGGGGCTGAGCACGGGTACCTGGCTCCAGCCTTCACCATCCCACATCCCCGAGCCACTGCTGCTCCCGGGGCGCATTGCCCAGCTCCTCACCCTGGCCCTCCTGGCATCAGGGTGTCACCTTCTTGTAGGTGATGTGGAGGTGCTGCGTCATGGGCTGTGTAGTGGTCGCCATGGAGACTGTTTGTTCTAGCTTCCCATCGGAATTGAGACGGAATTTTCTGGTAATCTGAGAAAGGGGTAAGAAACGAAATATCTCATAAATCAAGCAAACTGCATTCCTCACTAAAAGTTGTCTGCTGGAGCCATGGCTGCTCTCGGTGAGGTGTTTTGTGGGACAGCCAAGCAGCAGACCTGTGCCTTACACTGCCTGGCACCATTACAGCCACCCCCTCCTACAGACAGGCCAACAACCAGCAGTGTCTCCCCCAGTCCTCCTTGCACTGCTCATACTGCACTAAACCTCCCTCCCCAGAACCTATCTGTGGTTACCCTGCAGGGCTACGAAGCCCAGGAGCTGTGCAAGCAGAAGCTCAAACCCTGATATCAGCGACTTCCAAGCTGCTCAGGCTGTGTTCAGATCTGGGCTTAGCACATGTTGTTAAGTCTGCTCTTAGGTGGCTATGTAATAAGGAAGAGAAGTGGGGCCATTGTAAATCTCAGCTCTTGGTTCAAAATAATACTTAAGAGTACTGCTCCATCTGCCCAGCTCTTAGGGACAGCAGGATGACCTGCAAGTATGATTAACTGGCAGTTAATTAAACCAGCTCCATTTAGAAATTTCTACAAGAAAGAAGAAAGTAAAGATCGTTAGGAGCACAGTGTGGTCGAAAAGCACCCCATGGATTCACAGAGCACTTCTCTAACTGCCTCACCATAAGGCTTTTGCCAAGTGGATATACTGAAGTGTACACATCCCTGCTCTGACCAGCTCCCTTTCATCTTAACAGCTAAAAAACCAACAGCCTTTCCAAAGTGCCACGTTCACATCACCACCAGGGTGATCCACCCAGCTGTGCCAGGGGAAGGCCAGCAGGAAGACACCAGGATCCCTGCTGCTCCAGGATTTCAGCTGGTCTTGAAGACATGGAAGGGAAAGGAGGCTTTCACAGACATGTTCATTTCCCATGAAGGTGACTCAAGGGCACATCCACAAGCTGCTGCCAGTCTGTGTGCTCTACACCAGCATCCTGCCCCATTAACACGTCTGTTTCTACAGATGCAACATGTGCCTAACACCAGCACTAACACATCCCCTCCTATTTCAGCAGCCCATGCTTGCCAAACACACAGCTGGTGCTCCTGCTCTCTTAAGACCACCTTGGCCTTATCAACCCACCCTCAGCTTGCCCTGGCTGCTTCCTGAAACAGGAAAAGATAAATTAAAGGTTGCTGAACAGCCTGGTTTGACCCGTTATCAGTAGCAATATCAGTGCATATGCAAATTGTTCTGATGTTATGACAGCAAAGGAGGAAATCCATGATGACTATCAGAACAGATACAGGGTGCTCTGTGTCCCACAGCTGCGGAAGGCAATCTTGGAAAGGACGTGTGATCAGTGTGGCAGAGATCTGTATCTGCAGAGTGGGCTGATCTGTGGCTGCCTCTGTAAAGAGAAGCCCTTTCCTGTGGGCTCAGTGCTGCTGTTTAGACAAGACTTTCCTATCTTCTTCCATAAGGACCTGCTGCTGCCACGGTGGAGACAGGGCTGTAGCTGGCTGCTTTGACTCAGCATGGCAGCTCTTATCTGTGATCCCTTTTCATCTTGTAAGCTATGAAACGGCTTCTGAAAACTCAGAGAGAAGATAAGCAAGGATGCTGTGCAATATTTCCAAGAGCACCTGAGGCAATCTGTAATGAAAGCATGTTAATCAACCTGCCCTCTCAAACAGACACCCCTGGGCTAACATGATGACTTGAATCGCTGACCGAGCGTGAACTCACCTGCTCTACATGGGGCTTCTTGGCAAAGGAGATCCTGGCTATGGAGTGAGAAGCTATAGACAGCTCTTGACCATTCACCTCCCCTTCCTCCACCTCCACAAGACCTAATGAGAAAGCAAAGTCATAAATACCAGGCAACAAAGGTTAATTAACAAAATGTCACAATTATTAGGCTACACAGACAAAGAACGTTTTTCCTTGACCTAGCACATATCAACAACTGCAAATCCATGCAACCTCAGAAACATAACGCTACTTGGAAGCCCCAGCCAGACTTACTCTCAGTGTGGGATGAGTATCACATTGCAACTGGCAATTTTCCATTCAGCACCTGCTCTGTGGTCTTAGATCCAAATTTAAGCATCAGCTGGGTTTGAAATTTCTTCACTTCCAACAGTGTAGATGTAGTTCTGTCTCTCATTTGGTCTCTGTGAGTGCACAATGAGGCACTACTTCCAAACAGTGGGAAATTCTCCTAGTTTAAGATCTCATGTGAAGAGTGGGAATGATGCAGCTCATCTGTACACGTTCCTCCCTTCTCTCTGCACAAAAAGACCTGGATGCCACAAAGGCAACAAGAATGCCACTGGCTCCTTGTAACAGCCCATCATTAAGGCTGAGACTGCAACTCCTGGCACGAATCAAAGGGTTCCTTTGTTTTCAAAATCTATGCCTGCAAATATCAGCATACTATTTTAGGAAAGGGTGCCCCCATCTCGTGCATGTGTGGTATTTGGATTTGTGGTCCTTTCCTGACTGAGACAGCCACAAAGCCTTGCTGGCTGGGCTAAGCCAGTCCCAGCAACGTGGTGCTCATCAACAGCAGGATGGAGGTGCTGAACCCACAGTGAAAATACATGAAAAGAAACTGCTAAAGAGGAAGAGTAATGAAAGGCACAGCAGGACAAGGGCCTCCCTCTTCCCCAGAGGCAGTACCTGTGTTCTGGGCGCTGATGAAGGCCACCTTATTAGTGTCAGGTTTGAGGCGGATGAATCCACATTCTCGGTGCATTGGTTTCCTGGTGTCCGGGTGGAAGGCATTGAATCTGAGGGGAGATCAGAACACCAAAGCTGCTGTACTGCTGCACTGCAAATACAGGCTTTGGCCTGGTTTCAGCTTAGAGGAAACCACATTGCATTTAACCACACAAGCCTGCCTGCAGTGTTATTTGTAGAGTACGAGGCTGAGCATCCTTCATGGTAAGAAAATGTGAGCATGTAATAAGAGGACAGCCCCTTCACACACCTAGGTCCCAAATAAGTGGAACCTGCTACATAAGTTCAGACTTCAGATTTGCTCTAAGAGCTAGCTCAGAAACTCCCTTGGGTTACAGTAAGACACAGCACTGATGCTGAAGGCGTATTCCATCTCAAAACCTTCCTTCTCTCAAATAAACATCTAGCCTTGCAATATCACTTTTATTAAGCTTTTAAATCTGGCAGTCTTTTTCTTCCTTGTACATTACTTGCCACAGGCACTAACACTGCACACTTATTTCTTCCCCACCTCAAAAAGAAGAGCAAAATAAATCAGCTCAGATGCCTATCTAGGCATCTTCAGGATGCCTTACAGCTGCATACTATGTCATCGATATCACAGCTGTTATTTATGTATTATTACACACGATCATAAATTACATTAGCACTCCTGAATCTACACAGGGGACTGAATTAAACAGCAACTTAAACACACTGATAGCTGCATAATGCAATGGTCTGCTCCACTGGTGTATTATGGCTCACATATTCCAGACTCATCTCTTTCTTTTCACATCATTTGTCTTTGCATTTCCATCTCCTCACCCTCTTGTGAGAAGGAGGCAGAGGCAAGCTGCTGCAGCAGGCTGCATCCATGCTGAGGGCTGTCGTGGCAGCCCAGCTGTGCTCTGCAGCCAGTGCAGCCTATGGAGCCGTGCATCATGCTGGGATCGTAGAGACTCCAAGTGGGAAGGAACTGAACTAAAGCAGTTCTCAGTGCCTGAACAATTACTTGCCACCATACAGTTAGGCTGCCTGCCCAGCATCCTGCTTGTTGAACATTTTATTTAATTTTCCTCCATTTTTTTTGAAGGTGAAGATCGAGGACCAGTTTTAAGCAGACAAACTCGGGAGCCACAGCACAGCTCCTTCATTCATATCCGTAAGTGGCAGCTTGAAAAGCAGAATGATAGCAGTTCTAGGATAACACCATTACCTGAGGATTCATTTCTAATTAAACAGCTACTGCTGGCAACAGGAACAGTGTCTTCTCTGGCCAGAGGGACTGCACATCTTCTGCCTAACACATGCACTGGAGCACACCACATGAATGTGGAAGGACGGCAGACCTTTCAAGGACAGGTGCTGAACCTGCTCAAACAACAGCGATGGCTGAGTCTAGGATGGGGCTGTTTGGGGTGCACATAACCCTAAGGACTGGCAGGCCACACGAAATGCACACTCTGCCACTGTCACAGTGACCCTGCATAGGTGCACATCAACAACAGAGGTGTGAACTCACTTCTGAAAAGCCCTGTGGTACTTCTAGGCTGGTGAATCTTCACAGTCTGCAAGCAAGCAGCTCTGGGCACATCACAACAGCACACCCATTTATCAGCAGTTTTAAAGGGAAACAAACAAATCAGGCCACCCAGCCACATGTCATTACACCGTCTTGTTTGGTAAATGAAAACTTGTTTACTTGGAACTGGAATAGAAATATGAACAAATCTCCCTGCAGCCACACCTGCTGTGATCCAAATGTTGCTGCCAACGCAGCCAAGCCTCCAGACTTACGAGAAGTTGAGCATAGGCTGTCCCACGTGAGAGATGTGCACTTCTTCCAGGTACTGGAATGGCTTCATGGTGGGGAAGGTGCCG